ATTATCAGATAAAAATATTTTTTCCGTCTTCTCTTTTCAATAGGCAAACGTGGCATCTTTGTCTACATAACAATATGACAACCAAACGTAAGTATTCACCAAACTAGATTACGGCATCAAAATCTTCAAATGCATTAAACATCAATTGATCTTATTAAAAGGGCCTAGACATGCATCATACATCCGTAAACACAATGATGTATAGATATAAATAAGCATAAACAAATGAAATTGATGGTTGAAACTTGAAATCCTAATGTACGAATAACTATGAAACTGAAAGCTATTCAAGCAGACAATTTTACAAACAGGTACAGGGCATGTAGAAACCCACCCAAACTATACCAGTATTCACGGATCAAATAACCAAAAGATCAAGAATTGATTGACCTCCATTGAATGCGTAATCCAAGAAAACACATTAAAACCATAAAAATGACAAATCTAGTGACATTAACATTTATCTCACCAAAAAAAAGAACAAAATAATGTATTTGTTGAAGTAAGTGAATTAAAATACATGTATTACAACAAAATACATGGATTAAAAACATGTATTATTCTCACCAATAATAGTGTATTTGTTGCGGAAATAATTTCTTATTGGATTTTGTGACAAAAGAATATGAATTCATGGAAGGAAGACTTTTTGCAAAACTGACAGATTGTGTAGCGTGAGTGGAATAAAAGTGAGAAGGTGATGGGTCCAGAGCATAGCATTTTGGTCCAGTTAGTGTTATTGTATCAGATTCCCTTATTTTCTTCTTTATTTTCAGCTACCCAGTGAGTAGCCTGAAAAAACAGAGAAGAAGAAAGAGAAAAGCTTGCATACGAAAAGAAAATTGCAGAGGCAAGGGAGTTTGTAATCCACTGACCTGGGATCAAGGAATTCACCCTAGTAGAAGACTCTTCAACTCTAGAATTCGTTGTCCAAGGAGAGTCGAAAGCCACTGATCTTTATGGTTGTCCAATCGGTGAAGTAGAAGAGGTAGAAAATCTGATGAAGAAGAAGAACAGAAGGTGCGGCGTGTAATGAAAAAAAAAAGAGGGTAGGTTCGTCATAAATGTTTTTGCTCGGGAATGAGTTGAGGGTTTTGTCCAAAACCTCCCAATTTACTCAGGAATGGTGAAAGTCCGATTTTTTAGAAATGATTCCAGAAATTGCATTCCAATAGACTTAACCCAAGCAACAAATAAGGGGTTCATTCCATTATTTGATTCCCAAACCCTTTAACCAAGCAGCCCCTTAGTTATCCAATCCTATAACAGAAAGCCCAAGTCAAAACAATTGAAAAACCCACCATCCCACCGTCACCTATTGACCTTTTGTTTTAAATTAATTATGCTTTTTCCCTTAAAAGGATAACCAAGCAAATTCCATATCCTATCCTGTGTAACTTCTTGATTTTCGTCTAGTAAATTTCTATATAAAATTTTGTCCTAAGATAATTTTATTTGCAATGTTTCATCAATTCATCTACCCAAGCCTCCAGCATTCAGTTTAGCTATTGGGCAAATCTTTTGTTTTTCTATGTTTCGTTTTGATGGAAGACAAAAATTGACTTTTAGATTTTCTTGGTTACAACTTTCTTTATATATTCATTCAAAGATGAAACTTTTATTTTGTGCGTTTAATATATATAAATTAAATGAATTTGGATCTTGGGTGTCATTAGATTACATTTATAATAACAATAATTTTCTTGCCTCTGTTGGTTTAAAATTTAGTTATCCTTTCCTCATTAGTCCGATAAATTGTCATTTTAGATTAAATAAAATTGATAATTACTTCTTCTATTTTTCAATTAGATAAACTTCAATGTTTCTGTTTTGTGTTAATGAATATAGTGAATTTAACTAGTTCTGCTGCAATGATTAGGAGAACTAAAAGAATGGTTTTAGACAAGGTTATAGTTATTGATAATATAAAAAAAAACTTGTCAATAGAATAAACTTTTGAAAATCATTATGAAACATTTGCGGTTGCTTTAGATGAAAAAGCAAAAGCTTTAGAACTTCTAAAACATAAAGCTTGCACTTAATTATACTAGTGATTTTTCAGGTTAATTAGTAACTTATTGAGATTTGAGTATTTTGTAACTATCGGGAGCAAGAAAATTGAATAAAAGGACACTTGAAACAAGTGTTGAACCTGGAAGCTTTGAAGCTTTTTATTTTATTTTTTAACTTTTTATGGATTTTTTTAGTGTAAGTCCACATTTTTATGCTACTTCAAATAGTCAACATTTTCCAAATATTACGACTCTTCCGAAATTCAACTAAGACAAAATTCCTAGAGCTAAAAATCAATTAAAATATAACCACTAAATTTATTTCAACGTTTTGAATGTTTTTTGCTCATTTAATATCGATTTATTCCTTTTTTAAAAATAAAGTTATACTCAAGCTTAGTTGCCCTATAACAAATTGTTGGCACCGCCACTGCTCCATCCCACCTTGATTTCAAATGCAATGTGCTACTTCATGAGTTTTTTATAGAACTATTTACAATTAGTTAAGAGGGACCATTGATGTAGATACAAAACAAAGTCCACTTAATTTCTCAGGATAAATACAGCAAAGGGTTTGAAGCCGTTCCCTATTGGTATCTATTGATAGTTTATTGTGACGCATGTCAAGAAAGGATAGGTTGCTGTTTAGAGCTCGAAGGAATTTCAAATATTGAGATTAGTGACGGTGACGGGGGTTGGTGTGGGCCGAAGTGTAATCGAATCGGGCTGAGCCTTATTTTTAACGTGCTCAATGATGTTGCAAACTCGGGTTCGAAATGAACATTGAGCTGGATATGAGTTTCAATTTTAAGCTTGATTTTCCACTCGATGCAATATTTTGACTGTCGTTATGCTCGAAAATTTGATTGACTATTTCTTAAAGGTTCGGTCCTTTTATTACGTGCACTTAGGAGATTGGATAAGTTACAAGATCTTATATGTTTAATAGGCTCTCCAATTTTCTAGTTTGATGACGATCTTGAAAGTGCAAAATCATGAAAATGTCAAACCTTCATCATTTAAACCGAATCTTCAGCCATGAATTCTTCTTGTTTTCATCATTAAATTTTCAGGATTATATGCTTTAGAACATCATCATAAGGTACCACAGAGTATTCTTAAAGATTCTAATGTAAAACAATAACAAAGATTTCCTTCTCTTTCTTTTCCTCCTCCAATTCTCTCTCTCTCACCCACAGCAAGAAAGCATATATTATGGCCTAGTACTTAGTAGTGTAGTGGGTGGGTCCCTCTTTAGATTACTTTCGGACCGATTTAACGGTTAACTCTCGTGCTTAGTCTAATTAAGTGTGTGTGAGTTTATTTCAGTTTCTGAAGAAAACTTAGTGGTGTAGTGGGGATTTTTAGGTTGGTCATCACTTAAGTTCGAATATGGGGAAAGAGAATATTAGTTCCTTTTCATTCTTGATAAACCCTTTTTCTTTAAGTTCTTTTTTAATTTATAAAATCTATTCTTCTTTTCCCTTTTTTGGGCCTCATAATTGTAATTAATATATAAAAATAAAAATTATTTCCATTTGATAATTTGAGCATTTATGAAATTAAAACACTAATAGGCCCTAGAAGAACGCAGCATGTTATAATTACTAAACAGAATAAATATCTAAACTAGATGCAAGAATTTTAAGAACAACATGAACGTGTATGCCGAAAATATACATATGTTGTTAATTTGGGTGATTTCGATAAGGAAAATACTGAATGAGATATGAATCCTATACCATAATTTCTTAACACGAATGAAAAATAATATAAATAAAAAAGCAATGCTAAAAAATTAATTTTAAACTTGATGAATTTTTTAAAACAAAGCAACGCGGAATTGGTCATTAATAAATGGGTAGACGTTGCTTTCCTTGAGGGTTCCTTTGAATTAATCAAAAGAAGATTAAGAAATGTAAATCAGTTTGACAAAATGGTGAACACGTATGTACTGCAAAACAAGTAGTTGGACAGTTTATTGGCATTTTTTACAACGAAAATTATTGGAAAGTTCCAATCCAATTAAAATGTAACAGACTTTACGGGATTTTATGGTAAATTACATCTAATCCCCCTGGATTTTTATATTACTATGTGATCTCCTTTATATTTCAAAATATCCACATAAACCCCTATTGTTTAGTGTAATATGAAAAATAGATGGAAAGCGCCAATGTTATAGTGATTGAACCAGGTGTGCTCCAAAAATGCGTGTGGTGAATTAATAATATCCACTTAATGCCCCTACAATTTATATGAATATCCACTTTAACCCTCTATAAATTTTGTATTTATCCACATAATTCTTTTATAACTTTGTACAAGGTGGTCTAACTGTTGTTTGATTTAATACCTAAGTAAGGGCAATAGTAGAAGTTCAACTAATAGTGTAACATAAGATATTTTTTTTTTCTGTAAAATTTCTATTTTATATGAAATCATAGAGGGTTTATATGAATATTGAAAACATTAGGAGCGTTATGTGACAATCAATGAATCTATAGGGGATTATGTGTGTAATTTATCCTTTTAACTGTATATACAGAACTTTTTCTTAAAAGTGTTGAACTAGTTGGGTAGAGATTCAGTTTGGGTCCACTTTACTCAATAGAGCATTAGTCAAATGCCAATTTCCTCCACGATGACGTTGTCTGATATTTGTTAGCACCCTGAAATTTGCAACCCGGTCAAATTCCATTACTTTTTTTTTTTTCAACGGTCAAAATCTATTACTGACGTTTGAATTTTGGTTGGAGACCATTCAGCTAATGGTTCACGTCCAGGCGACTTGGTTGACCGACTTGCTAAAGTAAAGTCATCCTATAGGCTAATCATTTTCGGGGCGTGTACAACTTTCATGATCCCTCAACCAAAATTTTGGCTCCTATTTTACAGCTGTAATTTGTGGATATTTAGCCTTTTATTCTTTTGATGCCTGCCTTTGACATGATCTCCAGAAATTTGTTGTTCCACTTCCATTATTACATGCTTTGTTTGCTTATTAGCTTCCATACCAAATTCACTAGCCCCGTTAATTTTCTTTCGTCTTACTGTGTAAATACTACATACAACCCTAACAGCACTACCGGCAGCATTTACAGAACCAATCTGTATTCCGTGCTTTTCGCTCTATCTTCAAATGCATCTCGGACAGACACCGGTGGTTTCTACAATATCAGTACTGGCAATGACCCTTCTAACACGGTCTATGGCCTCTTTCTCTGTCGAGGCGATGTCAGCACTGACGTTTGCAAAGAATGCGTAGCAAGTGCCACCACAAGAGTATTTCAAGAGTGCCTGAATCGAAAGGCTGCTATTGTTTGGTATGACGAGTGCTTGTTACGTTTTTCTAACGAGACAATCTTCTCCAAGGTTGATTCCACAGCTGGTGTGTTTCTGTACAGTGTACAAAATGTCACTGGTCCAGGATGGTACGCCTTTACAAGGGTATTGGTAGATTTGTATAACACTGCGTATCAGGCTGCAAATGACACCCGGGGCAAAAAGTTTGCTTTTCAAGAAGGCAACCTTACCACTTTTCAGAGATTGTATACCCTTACACAGTGCACACCAGATCTATCTGCAGATGACTGTGGAAGCTGTCTCTCAGAGGCTATAGGATGGCTGCCCACTTGTTGTACCATCAGAGTGGGAGGCAGAGTTTTCCTTCCAAGCTGCAATATTAGGTATGAGCTCTACCGCTTCTACAATAGTGCATCCCCTGCACCACCGCCTTTGTCAAACTTACATTCCTTCACTGGTGCTCCTCCTCCTAGTTCCACTAAAGGTATGTTCTGGAGTCTTGCTCTGACCATTTTTTTTCCCCAAGTGTTAAAAACAGACTTAATTCTTACAATTTTTGTTTTGCTTGCATTGAATTATGGATCAAAAATGAAAATGAAAGGGCTATATTCGCATAACTTTAGTTTAAATCCACACCTTTGATACATTTATAATTGGTGTGAATGATAGTTGAATTTGTACAAGGCGTAAATCTCACCATTGGGATAAGCACATCATACTGATCATAGCACTCATGATTTGTCATTTCTGGTGGAATTTTAAGCGGACTTATACTTCCTAAGACAGTAATTATCTACATACTTAGCCTTTTTGCAAACATTAGAATTGTAATTAACTATAGAATATATATTGAAATAATAGCGTGGTCGCCATTGTAGAATCCCTTAGGTATGATAGCTTGACTTGCGAAACTGGGTTGGGCTTCTCTCCATTACGTTTCCTTTAGTTTTCCATTCATTTATCCAATTGACGAGGTCTCGCCTTACACCAAATTTAATAATCTAATTACCTCGAATTCTGCAAGCATATAGTTTGTTTAATGAGTATAGGAGGTATTACTATTTTCGATCTCATGAGGGGCAAATTTACAATTACTAAGACTTTTTCACTTGCTCTATTATCTAAATAGCCTCAAATATAGAAAATATAAATTGAAGGTAAGAAAAATAAGTAAACTAAGGAAAATCACAAGAATGGAAGAATCAACTAAGCACAAGTTATAGGGAATAGAATCCACTCTTTGCTCTAAACCCCGGTGAATCAGGTAAAATATCACTTTTAACTCTTGCCTTGTGAGATCATTTTCTAACGCACTTGAAACTCACTCTCCCTAATGAATCAAGTTTTTACCAAAACTAGACTCTCCAACTTTGTGGTGAAGTTATTAGATTTAGTTCATGAAGATGCATGGAAAAAGTTAAGAAAATCCACCTAAATGTACCACCGCCTATGCCAAACTTAAATTTTATTATTGGCCCTGCTCCTTGTCCCTCTAAAGGCGTGTTCTGGAACCTTGCTCTGGCCCTTTTTTTTTTTTCCTGGTGGATTAAAAACAGAGTTAATTCTTACAATTTTTTTTTGTTTGTATTGAATTTTGGATCGAAAATGAAAATGAAAGAGCTGTATTCACATAACTTTATTTTAGATCCACACCTTTAATGCATTTGTAATTGAGATTAACAATATTAGATCTACATATCATGAGTGTGGAATAATTGTCATGAGTGTGGATTTTGTAGAATTTTAAGTGGACTTATAATTCTTAGGACAGTAATTATGTACATATTTAGCTTTTTTGCAAGCATTAGGACATTAATTGACTATAGAGTATATATTGATTTAATAGTATGGTGGCCATCGTAGAATCCTTTAGGTATGATGGCTTGATTGGGCTCCTCTCCATTTCGTTTCCCTTTAGTTATTCATCCATTTATCTAATATACGGTTTTTAAAACTCATATTATTATGTTATTATTTTATTTTGATTGGTTCATCAGCATAAATAAAGATAAAGTCCATTTGACAACGTTTTTGCATTCAATTTGCAAGAAACAATTAAACCAGGACAAAAGAGTTTAAGATCATGGAAAATTTTGTAATGATTAATCGAACATCAATAATTTGTTAATTCAAATTTAACTTTTGTGTATAACTGAAATAGTTTATGAGGTATATTATGTATGGTGTTGATTTGCAAAATTAACTTCAAAATGAAATTATCATGGCGTAATGCTAAGAAGAACTCACTTTTGTTTCTCCAAATTTAGACAAGGACATTGAAGAAGATCAAGGATTTGTGCTATGCATGTAAAAGTTTCTCCATTATAGTGGAATACATTTTTTCCACTAGTTTGAAAATATTAAAATAGGTAAATTAATTTTACTCCTTTGTGGTTTAATGTTTTGCCATGCAACCCCTTGTCGTTCCGAAATTGCAATATTACCTTGTGCTTTTGTGAGAGGAGCCATTGAGTTTTTCTTTGTTTTGTGACAAAACTAGTTGTCAAGATACAGAATAATTATTAAGTGCTAAAGCAGGATAAATTTCATACTTTAGGGAGTAAAGCATCCAAAATTAAAATTTAAGGATTAGAGTTGTAGAGAGTCCATAATTTAAGGCTCCAAATTGAAAATTAGCCAAGAAAAAAAGTACAAAATATATATTAGCAATGAAATCAACCAAACACCATATTTACCCTCTTTAAATTTGATTTAACAAAAAAAATCAGTTATCTACATTGGCTTGGGTTAAGATGATAATTTCAAAAGCATAAGGAGATTAAAAGGTGAAACATTAAATCATTATGGTAAAAGGTATTATTACAATTCACATTAATCAAACAATTAATTACATTTGTCTCACAATGGATCTGCTCTCTCTACTCCTTGTGCCACTTCTTGTCCTAACCTTCTATAGTATGTCTGCATGAACATCCTTTTTTAACCCTGTTTTTGTCCTTGAGTTTCTACTATGACTAACAGGGTTAAAAAAAAGATCAAAATACAACAAATAAAACCAGTATATGATAAAGAAATGAAAAATATATATCTACTAAAAAACTCGTAAAAATTTGATTTTTTTAATTAAGATTTGGCATTTTAGTCTATTATCATTTTTTTTACATAGTTAGTGGTTCTTGGAATTCTAAAGAAGAAAAACAAGAGTTAAAATAGGTTGTTTATGAAGGATATACGACAATATAATACAAGATGGGACCTAGAGTAAGCTAGGAAGTGATACTAAAACTTAAGTGCATTCATCTCCCTTGAAATTTGGCCAAATTATAAGTCAGACCTATTGTACATGTATTTCCATGAAATTTGACCAAATTACCAATCAGACTTTAAAGTTTGATCACCGTACTAAGTAACCCTAAGTATTGATAATGGGGTGAGAGACTGGCAGGATTGCAGGTTAATCGCGCCAAGCTTCTCATTGCCCAGATCAGGACAGGTAAGCTTGGCCTCATCTGAGCTTCAAAAAGGCCCTCTATGGTGGCACTTATAACCTATATATGTTTTCAAAACTCAAACCGGCAAGCGACTCAACTGAGCTCAGGGTCAATCAAATCGGATCGGTATTAAAAACCGAATGATATCATAAATATATATTAATTTTTTAAAATAAAAAATATAAAAAAATACTATTAATATATTAATTATGTTCATTTTTACCTCATAGTCCTTGCATCACATCAAATTCTTAAAACACAATTGAGTTACAAATTGAACAAAATGACAAATCACTATCAAATACTTAATACGAATTTTAAATAAAAATTCAACAATCATATTTTAAATTAACTTGTTAATGTTTATAAAGTTCAAATGCACATGCATGATAAGTCTTAAACAAAATTGAGACTAATTTGTACAAAGTGCAAAAGCTAAAGTTGCACACAGGAATTATAAAAGAAATTTGCAAGCATAATTGTAATTGTTCAAAGCATAAAGGTCAAAAACACAAAATTTTAAAAATTTTAGACTTGGAAGGCAGTTGCCACCTGGCCTTCATCTTTTGTCTTCCTGCTCTTCATTCGGTCCAAACACCTATCGCCTATACTTTGATCCCATTTCCACCTCTTTCTTCTCCTCCTCCTCTTCAACCTTCAAGTTCAACCAGTGTTTTCCCTTTTTTTTTTTTTTTCTCTTTTTCCGGTCAACTTCAACCAATGCTATTAGAAAACAGAAATTCACCAAATTAAAAAGGTAAAAGAAAAAAAACGACATCATCAAATCACTAGCATGCATCATCACCAAATTACCGGTGGGTTTCTTTCTCTGCATTCTTTTTTTTTTTTTCCTTTCATTTTGTGATTTCCTTTTGTGTTTCTTTTCTTCAAAAAGGCAAGATTCCTTCTCTCTTCCTTTATTTTCATTCTTTCGTTAATTTCTTTCTTTCTTTCTTCTTTTCATTTAGATCCAGATCTTTAGAAGTTGATAATGAAGATATATTCATAGATCTATTTTCTCTTAGAACTTTTTGCTTGTGATTTCCAATACATATTACCAAACTGTTGGAGGGATCAAATTAAGGCTTTAAAGATGAAGAAAATTTTGGAAAAAAGAAAAAGAAATCAGCAGCAGGAAAAAATACAGCAAAAATGAAGGTACAAACCGGGTTTTACTGGTTTTGGTTTTACTAGTTTTTCAGTCAAATCCAATTTTTTACAAGCAATTTCTAAAGATGACTCGAACTGAATAACTGGTCGATTTTCGATTTGATCGGTCAGTCTGGTCCAAATTTAAAAACAGTGCTTGTAACCATAGAGGTACCGGGTCCCTGATAATGCTACGACCAAAAGGGATACGAGCTCCTTTGCATTGGTTAACCCCGAGTCTTAAAAAAAAAAAACCTCGAGTCTCGACCGACACCATATACTTTGACTGGTCAACAAAAAGACAAGCTAAATGTTCCAAAATGCCCACCAACGTATGTCATTGTCCTAGATTCCCAGTTAATGTTTCAAATTTAATGGGCAACGGTAACCTCTTCTTTTCCTCATTCCTTTATAGCAAACATTTGCCTTTAACCTTTACCTCACTAGTCACAATAGGGCTCCTGCATCCAACCTCCATTAAGCAGCCAACTTTACTTTACACAACCAATCTGCGCAATGATTGGGCTCTAGTCGTTTAGAGCACAATTTTAGACTGTTAAACTCTGCCGTACATTAAGTTTAAAGAGAGTCATTTAAAATTATTATTATATTTTATCAAATGAATTTTTTCGTCATTTACTTTTAAAATCTTAATTTTATGTAGTACAATTTGGTTTTAACCTAAATTTTTGAGCATTTTTTAGCTTGAAATCACTCCATGACTAGCATGCAATAATTTTTTTATGCACAAAAGGTCAAATTTTATTATTTTAATGGCAAAACAAATACAAATTGGGTCAAATCTCACCTTTTTAGAAAAAAAAATGAATATAGTTTGAATCAAATCCTATATTTTTAAAGACAAAAATGGATATAGATCGAGTCAATTATATAATTACAAATGCGTCTCACTTTTTTGCCCAGAAAAATGATCATGTGTGGATCATGTAATTGATTTATGATAAAAAACTATCAAAAAATTTAAGTTAATTTTTACCGATTTAATTTTGTAAGGGATGTAAAGTTACAATTTTAAAAGTGAATGACAAAAAAATTCATTAAACGAAATGTGAAAAATATTTTGAACAATTTTCCCTTTCAAAAGCTGCATTACCTTTCCTTCTAAGGAAACAAAAAAGCCCAAATCTCCGCAACGGATCTTCTGTCCCACACCCTGTGCCACTCTCTGTCCCACTTTTTATTATATTGCTATTTCTCTTTCACAAACATCATGTTTTAATTCTTTTTTATTTCCTTATGATCCAATAACTATTAATTGAGTAAAAAATAAATACAACAGCTTCAAAAAACTAATATATAATAGAAAATTAAAAAATACAGCAGAAAATTCATAAAAAATCTCATTTTTTATGCATTTTGATTTTTTGAGTTTGTTAAATTTTGTATATTACTCAATTAATAGTTATTGGATCTTAAGGAAATAAAAAAGAATTAAAACATGATGTTTGTGAAAGAGAAATAGCAATATAATAAAAAGTGGGATAGAGAGTGGCACAGAGTGTGGGACAGAAGATCGGTTGCAACAAATCTCATCTACCAGCATTACCATTACATACGTTCAAATTCCACAACTGTAACACCATATATGTATGTATGTACGCGTGATGCGTGTATGTATGTATGTCTGCATGCTTATGAAGCGAAGGAAAAAGTAGAAAGGAGAAAATGACTTGGTTATACCAGTCTCGAGGGAATTGAATAGGAGTAGGTACGTTAAAATGAGGAGGTGGTTATTGTGATTGCGGTGGCAGTTGTAATAGATCTGAAATGGAGTAAATAAGGTTTGAGACGAAGAGGGTGCTTTCTTCTTCTTCTTCATTTTTTTCGTCATTTTATTTAACCTTTCCACACTGTTGGTTTGGTTATCTTGTTTTTCTTTCTTCTTAGTATTGGTGCATCTTCCTTTACTTTATCTTTAATGTTTCTTCTCCACTTCTTTGTCTTTTATCTCGTTCTATTCTGATACGTACTTTCTTGTTCTTCCGGGGGAAGCACCTATTTGCTCTTTTTTTTTTTTTTTTTTAAACGGAAACGTTAGGAATTGTATTGATATCAAAACAAGCTATACAACTTGAGCAACAGCCCATAAGGAGCTTTACAATAGTGTTGTTTGATACTGAGGACTTAGATATTCCTCATCTTGCACTAATGTAGTAGCATATTCGCTTAACCTTCTACCTATCTGATTACACTGGTTGCCTACCAAGCTAAAAGAGCAGTTCATAAACAAAGCTTTTAGCATGTGAATGTCTTCCAGCTGAGCAAAAAGTCTTATATCTCGTGTCTTGTTCGTCTTCAAAACTCGCAGCATCTGAGCAGATGAAATTAACAATTTAACAACTGGCCATGGCTTTTCTCTAATTTTGCACAGTGTTAATTTGATCGCTACAACATAGTCCAGTAATCTATCTCCTGTGCTTCTGTCTTTTATGGCCCATGCAGCATGCATGTTGTTGCCTTGTTTAGCCACTATGCCAATGCTTAAAGGTTTCCCTTCCTTTTGCTGGCTGACCTCCACTACAATGATCATCATGTTGCTGTCTTCATTGTCATATTGTTCCTCTTCAGCCTTTGATGTTGTTTCCTAACTGCTCTCTCGCTTATTTCTACTGTATTCTTCAGTGTACTCTAGCCATTCTAGATGAGCTTTCTATACAATGTCAAAAGGATGACAGTATCTGTTGTTGAAAACCTTCTCATTCCTGGCTTTCCAAACTTGCCAGAGAATGTTAACAGTAAAAGCTTGGTGCTGATGTCCTTCAGTTCTGCTTGTTGCTTCCATCAGTCCACTCCACCATTTGTTGAAGTTCCCTCTATTGTCAGCAATTCCATCCCACTGCACTGGGGCCAGTCTCCATACTTCCTTTGCTTGATTGCAGAAAAAAAACAGGTATTCTATTGTCTCCTCTCCTTCGCCACATACTTGGCATATTGGCTCACCCATTTTGGTTCTGCAATATATTAGCTCATTCACTGGTAGAGCCTTGTTCAGACATTTCCACATAAAATTCTTCAGTTTGCCTTTGATGTCCATTTTCCACATCTTCTTCTAGTCCTTTTCTTTTTGTCCATTGATACTTGTTTCCCCTTGCCCTTTCGTTTCCTGCTGCTGACTATTCTCCCCCTTGCTCAACAATTTGTAGGCTGACTTGATAGAGTAGTTGCCATTATTGCTTGCTATCCAATAGCTGCAATCAGCCCTTCCTGCTAAACTAATTGGAATTTTGAGGATTTCTTCAGCATCTTTTCCATTGAAAGTTTTGAAGATCAGGTGTCTATTCCACCTGAAGTTTGTTATCAGCTCTTCCACTTTATGTAAGCTGCAGTTTTGGGGCTTAACAGTAGTTGGTTTCCCTTCTTTGTTGTTTGGGATCCAACTGTCTTCCCAAATGTTGGTACTCTTGCCATCCCCAATTTTCTTCCAGATGCTCCTTCCCACTTCTTCTCTAACACTGGTCATACTTTTCCAAATCCATGAAGCTGTTTGGCTCACCTTGCATTGGAATATTGACCTGTCTGGATAATATTTAGCCTTCATGATCTTGCTTATCAGTAGATTTGGGCATGCCACAAGTCTCCAAATTTGCTTCTCAAGTAGAGCTTTATTGAAATCCTACAATTCCCTGAACCCCAGTCCCCCTCTACTTTTGTCCTTTGTAAGTTTAGTCCAGGAGCACCAATGCATCTTCCTTCTTCCGCATACCAGAATCTAGCCATCATAGCACTAATATCTTTACAAAGTCTTCCTGGTAGTTTGAAGCAGGACATGGCATATGCAGGTAGAGCCATTGTGATGGCTTTCAGAAGTATTTCCTTCCCTGCAGTGCTCAGTAGTTTGTTCTTCCAGCTTTCCATTCTTCTCTAGCAGTTATTTCTGATGAAACCAAATAGTTGTTCCTTTGACCTTGTGATGACTATGGGTAGGCCAAGATATTTTCCTTGGCTTACCATTTGAATGTTTCCCAACTTCCTGCACACTTCTACTTTCTCCACCTCAGGTACATTCTTACTGAAAAAAAACAGAAGATTTGTCATAGTTTACCATCTGACCTGAGCTTTTTTTCATATTTTGCCAAAATCTTCATAAGCTCCTCAGCTTGAGCTGGAATTGCTTTACAGAAAACTAATGTATCATCAGCCAAAAACAGATGGGATATTGAGGGACCCCTTCTACTGATACTAATTCCTGAAAGCAGCTTCATCTCCTCAGCTCCCTATTTGCTTTTTTGCCACCCCGCTTTTCTAAATTTAGTAATTAATTATCTTCGGCTTTTTTTGCTAGCAATTCTTGTGCCTAAAAATGCTATCCCATTTGTTTTGGTTTTTATTTTCCAAGTCTTTTTAAAGTAGGGCATTGTTGTCATTTGATTATATCCAACGGTTGGGTCTGGACAGCCTCATTTGCAAGCGTAGTTGTAATTTGGTACAAACACAGAGCTAAGTTTGTAAATTACTGAAGCTACAGGGGAGTTTAATTCTATTAATCCAAAACTAGAACAATTAGTATGCTAGGATTGACAATTGATTGTCAATTTTTTTTTATTTACCGTCAACATGGAGTATGTGAGATGAAAAGGTGGTGAAAAACTTTTAAAGGATACTGAAAGAATATTTTTTCAAATAATGTGTTCTTGCATAGCTATCCGTCTATGTAATGGGCTGTCTCGGAGTTACACTAACCCAAAATTCAGCAAACTTGATCTCCTATGAGCTGACTTTTGAAGTAAATTAAACTTCCTTTAATCCAGGCAAAGGCCGAAGACCCCTACGAGGAGCTTTTCCAATTGCTGTCCCACTAATGGGGGTTGCTTTTGTGCTATTTATCATGACTTTAGTCTTCCTGAAAAGAAGATCAGGGAAGAGACATGCTGCTATGGCACAGCAGGGGGCAACTGGTAATGTTTATTGATTGCAATTACAGGAAACCTCAGAGATTTTTGAACTAATAAATTGAGTGTATTTGCTTATCCCTGGTGTAGATGGAGTTGCCGAAATCTTAACAGCCGAATCCTTACAGTATAGCTTAACTGAAATTCAAATTGCCACAAATAACTTCTCTGTGGATAACAAAATTGGCGAAGGTGGATTTGGTCGTGTATACAAGGTCCCTATATGAAATATAAGTGATTCTGAATTTTAATATCTAAACTTTCAAGTTTTCAATCACATCTTACTATGCATATATCTTCAGGGTGTACTTGCTAATGGACAAGAGGTAGCAGTAAAGAGGCTGTCAAGAAGCTCAGGGCAAGGTGCAGAAGAATTTAAAAATGAAATTGTAGTGGTCGCAAAGCTTCAACACAGAAATCTAGTTCGACTATTGGGATTTTGCTTGGAAGGAGAAGAAAAGATACTCATATATGAATTCGTTCCCAATAGAAGCCTTGACTACTTCCTCTTTGGTGAGTTTTAGTCTAGAAATGCTTGTTCTAGTGTTTGGTTTTTTGTTTGACCTTCTTCTATGTTACTTAAGTCCACCATCTTAGCAAATGACAGGTAACAAATTGGCTCTTGACAGGTGTTTTATTGTGAGAAACCATTGATTTAGTATTTTTCAGTTCTAACAAAGAATATTGTGTTTAAGATAGTAAAGATTCAGAAAAGAAACGATCACTGAACTGGTCAAGACGTTACAAGATCATTGGAGGTATAGCAAGAGGACTCCTCTATCTGCACGAGGATTCTCGTCTTAGAATTGTTCATCGTGATCTCAAAGCAAGCAATATATTGTTGGATGGAAATATGAGTCCAAAGATAGCAGATTTTGGCACGGCAAAGATTTGTGGAGTTGATCAATCTGTAGGAAACACAAATAGAATTGCTGGGACATTGTAAGTTTTGCTCCACACCATCGTTTCTCACATAATATGACTTTGTATCTTTCATGGAAAACACATTTCATTGCCTCATTAGTGATGCCTTAATACCAATTATAACAATCTTTGTGGCTTGTAGTGGTTACATGGCTCCCGAATACACAAGGTGTGGCCAGTTCTCCGTAAAGTCAGATGTATTCAGCTTTGGGGTTGTAATTTTGGAAATTATCACAGGCAAGAAGAACAGTAGCTTCTACGTATCTGAAGATTCTGAAGGCCTTCTAAGCTATGTAAGTACAGATCACGAAATCTCTGCTGAGTTTTACTTGTTTTCTGTGGTTTTGAACAATTGGAGTGGAGGATTTGACCCTAAATTGAAATTGGAACGCCTAAATTTCAATTTCTTTGTTTGTTTGTTACTCTAAAGATTACCTAAAGTTGCAATTGCTTATGTGCTTGCGTGAAACCAAATTGGAACAGTAGCTCATGAGCTACCTGCCCTAAGTAAATACATAAATCTGTTTGTGTTCCATGTAGATCTTTAGATCTCCATTGGGACTTATCATATTTGCTACTCGTTGTGTCATTGGTATGTTGCACTCAAACGATATATCCCTCTAACGTATACCTAATTCTTAGTTTATCTCCTAACCTTTGTGTCACTTAACCTCCCTACCAAACAAAACTACACTCTTATTGTGTTGATTATTTTCTTCTCTTTTGTTTTTTCTGTCAACTTCATTTTTTTTTTTCAAATTCTTATTTTTGAGCAAAGTCAAGGATTCCTCCATAAAAAAAATGTATTTGGCAAAATATAGCATCGTAATTGAATATATGTTTTATTATGACTTTATATATGTGTGTGTATATAATTATTCAATTACCAATCAATTTCATTCTAATTAATTTCATCCATTTTCAATCTAAGAAATCAAAAGGAAAAATTTTTAATCTATATCCTCATAATTAGACAAATTGACAATCACATTCACATGTCGATTATTTGGACATTATTTTAGTCTTTTTTTCTCTTATGGATTTTTTTATTAGATTCTTTTCTTTACTAATTTTATAAAATTAATCAAATATTAATATATTCTTTAATAAATATACTTCTCTCCGTTGATATGTTCCCAATTGGAATTAGATTCATCCAAATTGAATTATAGGTTAAGATTAATTGAGAAAAGAAAGAAGTAAAAAGAAAAAAAATTAAACCTAAAAATATTAGAGGAGTAATTTTGTTTCTCAAAGGTTAAGTGACACAAAAAATACATTAGGAGGTAACGTAAGAATTGGTTTGTATCTTAGGGGGATTAATTCTAATTAACCCTTCAAATAAAGACCATTTATTTCTTTAACAAGGTACACTAGACTAAAAATGACAGTCCATAGAAAAGGATGCGAACTAAATTTAGAGTATTGACTAATGCCTATTGGAAAGGTGACATTATTCATAGAACAAACTACTATGTAAAGTTGGATATCACTTGTGAAACTAGATATGCTTGAGCAAATTGCAGTTTTTAAGTCTGAACTCCTTATATGTGGGATAATTTCAAAAAGGCTTGGAAGCATTGGAGAAGCGGCGATCCTTTAGCTCTTTTGGACTCAAGTATTGGAGATTCTTATCTCAAAAATGAAGTCATTCAATGTGTCCAAGTAGGTTTAGTATGTGTTGAAGAAGAAGTCAGCAAAAGACTTACAGTGGCATCCGTGGTCCAAATGCTCAATAATAGTTCTGTTACCTTACCTACTCCACATTGTCCGGCAGTTTTCCGGCGCCATGGATCGGAGGGCAGGGTGGAGGAGCTGGAAGTTGATCAATCTAATACTGAAAGAATTTCAGCTCCAAGCTATGTAAATGAGGCATCAATTACTGAACCATATCCCAGATGAAGGAAGAAATAGGGCTAATTCTGGAAGGAAATATCAAGGAATTGTGTTTCGCATTTCCAAATCCTCCTAAGAATGAAAAATCTGCTTGTACCGCAGTGTGTCCTAGTTGACAAAATAGCCCCCATGTACAAGTGGACATTCTTGTCAATCACTAGCGATTTTGAATTGAGCTGCACAAATTTTTTTTTTTTTTTTTGAAAGTTGAACATATGCATAAACTCATTCATTACATAACCTTTGCAAGATATATTCAGTCAGGACAAGACATCTTTCCTTGGTTTACCACTATCTATTATCTCTATGACACCATTTGCGTGATTAAACTACAACAATTTTTAAAAGGCTTATAAACTACATGTAACTCTAATCAACGATACCACAATCATACTTCTTCTATTACATTTGGAGATTTATTGTGGAATTTCTTATTAGTATAGTTTTTTCACTCTTCCTCACCATAAACACCTAATTTTCTCCAATTATACATTTGGCAACTCAATTTGGATCACAAATGGCATGAACGGTTATGCAATGTTGTAAGCCTCAAAACACCGCAGAATCCGTCTGGCCAAATTTGAGCCAACAACTTGAGCAGCCAAGTTGGATACCATGGCTAGCTTCGGGTAATGTAGTGAAGAGTCATATTTTGGAGGGTTTTGAAAAGTCGTAGGGTTTCAACCTTGTAATACTAAGTTATTCTTCTTGAAAGTTGCGAAAATTTTCCATTCCATCGAGGTACTTTTCATTTTTTTAAATTTTGTTTGTAGTTTCTAACTTAATATATATTATCATTCTTATTCATTGTCCCTTTTCCACGGATAAATAATACTAAAAAGGTACTATGTCTCATTTCTCAGAATTGCAGTGGTCAAGATCATGAACCATTAACCATTGAGATTTATTCATGAAGTTTCTGATTTTTAAACTTGGAGTCTTGTCATGTAACAGTAAGTACATAAATGTATATAGAATCCAGGTTAAACACTGATTCTTAATCCGCATTGAAACCAATTATAAACTGAAGCATGTAGCCTGGCCCCTATACATATAATCGCAGTTTGTTCCAATTCTACTTCTTGATTCAAGGCAACGAATTAAAAAGTCACAACATGGATTTTATTAGGCCAGATAAAAGGCAACGAATTCACAGCCTGGAGATGATCAATACTGTAAATTATATACCTTCAGATGTATTGACAAAGATTCTGCTACGATTTTATCTGATATCATTGATGCAATTCAGAAGTGTTAACGAATCCTGGTGTGCCCCGAATTCAATACCTTCACTGGGTATAGCCCCACGATCTGGAGGTACCGAATCTAAGTGATCCACTGATTCAAGTAACTGGTCCTATCAACGGCATCCTTTGCATCATGGATGGTTCTGATATTCATGTTTGTAATCCTGTGTCTCACAAATCAGGAGGCTTCCAGCTTCCCCCTTCTTGTTCCTCAAGAATATAGGACAAGAATATAGCGCTCACGGGAATTTGCATCATTCCTCATGGGGGTATGAATTTAGCTTTAATGCCTACAATGTTTTTAGGCTTGTGAGGATTCTGCCATAGGATAGATACAGCTTTGTTTGTGGTTTAATAAGAGCTGACAAATAATGACATTCGAGTTTGTCTAAAGTTCTTAAATTAATATGAAATTTTCATATTGTTATATGCCTTGGTAAAGTTGATCTTTATGGTTGATTTTACAGGTTTAGTTTTTCCTTTGGTCTTTGCCAGTATGGATAAGATGCCTTCCTTACAACGGTTTGTTGAAACCTATACCAATGAACCCAAATTTGTAGTGATGTGCTCCTCTTACAATTTAAAGTAACATTCGTTCTTCAATTCAGAAAAACCTGAAGTAGTTGCCGAACAACAGAAGTAAAATGTATCACTTCGAATATTTCTTGTTTAAAGCACATCTTAATTTGTTTCGTGTTAGAATTTTTTTTCCTATCAAATGGATATACTTGGATTACATGGATTATCCACGTAAAACCGCCATTTTAACGAGTTAAACTGGGTAATCATTTAATACTGATGATTAAATTTTTCTCATTCAAATCCATCTAAAGTGTTGGCTTTGATTCATAGCGTCGAATGGAAATCAATAGTTTAACTTAATCTTTTTATTTTCCATTTTATCTCTTTCTCATAACTATTGTAGATCTCCAACGTATATGCTAATCAGTAAAAGGTTATTCTCTGCATTTCATGTTAATCTTTGTAGAAAGCGGGAAGTATACATTATATTAGCTACAAAGATCATTGTTGTGGGTAGTAGTAGACCCAAGATAATTTTTTAGCAGAAGCACAAATAAAAAAAAAATTAGGTTTTGCAAGTAGAAGGGGGCAATAATAATATTCAAATAACAAGTAATTGTACCATATAATATCAGTTAAAAGTCAAACTTATTGTTGAATATTGCATACTAACCTTAAGAGAATGAGGCCAAGGGTTCTCATAGTCAGCCCGCTATTTTAATACATATCATTATTATGCTGCAAACCTGTGAAGCTGAATATGCACGCGTTTTAAATGAGCCCATTAAGGCCCACCTTTAATTCCTAACATGAACCAAGTGATTGATGCACATTAAAAAATGTTTCTAAAGAAATTTGTTTACAAAACTTAATTTTATTTTTTGCAATAAATAAAAATTCAAGCAATATTTATGTAGAATTAGTTTTAGTTTTTTTTGATGGATAATGCAATTGTGGAAAACTGATAGAAGGTCCAAAAAGTTTAGATAATGAAAGGTAATGAACTGAGTGGTATTGTGCTTAGTATCTAGTTGTTTAGATAATGGCGTGGGATTAGTTTCTTTTTTATTATTTTTGTTTTGTTCAAATAGATTAGATAATTTACCTTTACAATTAAAGTAATATGATAGAAATTTTGAAATTTAACCATTACACACTAAACGTACAGTAGAAAATTTAAACAATTATCCTACTTTTTATAATGTATGGATATCATTATACATTACAATTTCAAAGTTCAAAACTCTCTCTAAAATACCCGATCAGGGGCATCATATGTTCCATTTGAGTCCATTTGAGGTTAAATTTATTATTTTAAATTTTCATACCATATTCCAACTTGTTTACACCCTACCTAAAATTATTTATACTATACTCCTACTTGTTTACACCTAGGGACAAACTGTGATGCCCCCACTTTTTTCAAGGGCGAACTCAAGGGTATCCGCAGAACGCTTGCTCAACACTCGTTGGGGCTTACTACAATCCATAATTCAAAAGCTAGAAATACTTCAAATATTTTCAATATATAATTAAAGTACTCCAAAATATTTCATACTTAAAATTAGATAACCTTCAAGTTTAAATACAATCCAAAAGAATATGTACTATAGTCATCTGCTATAATACAACTTAAAATTTTCAAAAGAAAATAACCTAGTACTATTCACGAGCATTTTCGGTCTTGAACCCTGTTAAGGAAAACAAAAGCGTGGAATGAGTTAAACAGCCCAGTGAGATTCCAAAACGCACTAGCAGTTCTAATAAATTAAGTAAATTAACCATAACACATATATGGTTCAAAGTTTCACATTGGCACATTAAAATGAGACATTTATCATTGTATTGAAATAAACACTCATTAAAAGGATACGGTGTTCACATGGAACCATTTCGGTCAGCTTCATCTTATTACTCCAGTAATTCCCCTGGTTGTCTGGCCATCACCTTATCCCTCCAGTGGTAATACTCGAGTATACAGAAATGGTGGCCCAGGGTTCCAACCTACCCGACCGAGTTCAATCCTGGCTCGAGCAGGTTAGTAACCAAGGGCAGGATCCAGTTCAGCTTAGAGCTTACAACATGCGCAAGTAATCAAATAAATCGGTAAACGGTAGCAGTTCAAGGTTAACGATAGAAATTTACGGTTAAACGGTAGAACTTTGTCATTTTAGTAGGTCGAGTGAGATAAAGTACACACTTGCCTTAAAACGGTGAACAATTTCATAGGAGCAATTATAGGTAGCACTTAACACTTAAACACATAAGGAACACTCACCAATTCAAAATAAGTGAGTAAAGAAAGTCTTTAATGATCCACTTCAGGATTCTCTTCGAGACCTTCTTGATCGCCTGAAGAAAAGTGTCCAACAATCACTCTCACACTTTCACAAATTCCTTATCAAACAAGGAAGAATGCACACTTGATTTAAAATTCAATTCAACGTCTTTATAAGAGTTTCACTTTATCGAAAGTCAAGATTCACAAGTGAGGAATTTAAAGTTACTAAGGAAATGCATATCCTCCACGAAATCGGGTTTAAAACGATATATCAATATCAAGATGAGAAGTCAAGTTCCCAAAATTGCATTTTCTAAGAAATCGGCAAATTTCAGCTTTGCATGCCAAAATTATAAAAATCAGATCTTGCACTCAATAACTCCAAAATTGGAAAACTTTACACTGTTAGAAACTAGTTTCAAAGTACTAAAAGTTCCTAAAAAACACCTTTCCAAGATTCTAAATGGAAGGCATTCAAAATTTCAGCTCAAAGTGGCTGATCTGAGTAAGCAAGGCAGTTTCAGCCATGCTTTTCGGCAATCTTTGGAAATTCGGAAAAATTCATAGAAAGTGAACTAGCCTTTGAAATTTGTAACACACTACGAGATTCTAACACTTGTTTCAAACAAGACAAATGGAACTGAATTCAGAGTTTTGAACATTAAGATATCATAGCTTAAAGTCGGCTGACTTTTGTACACTATTCAGAAATTTTTCAGATTTGAAGAGCAAACTTTGAGACATCATTTGGGTATCAAAATGGTCCTAGAATAATACCAATTTTGGTACACTAAAAATTCCATATGAGAAATACCTGTCTATCAAATTTCATGCAAAAATTCATATGAGAAGGTAGTTAACAAAATCACCAAAGTTCGGAAAATTTCCAAAGCTAATCTGCCTTCTTGTTTTCTTTCCCCTTCTAAACATTTTGCACAATGAAATCAGTCCCATTTTGGTTCATTTTTTAAACCAAGGTCCTATAACAACTTAATAGGAAATATATGATTGATTGACATCAGAATTTTCGAAACAAAACGTCCCAAATCAAACTTAACCATTCGGCTAGCAAAAAGAGAAAGATTTCCAGATTTCCAGCTTTGTCA